ATGTGTTCTTTTAGATGGGATTCTTGTGAAGTCTCAGTTCATCAAAGCAACTTCGACGATCCACATTATCTTGGGAAGCATCAAAGGCTAGAATAAAACTGGGAGGTATTACATTGCAAGTAATATTCAGTACAAATGCTTTTACTAGAAAAGAAAATACCACTACTTATGTAAACGTGGAAAGACACCAATAAAAGAAAAGCTTTAGCAACCAACACCATTCATGAACTTTCAAAGACTGTTTGATCGCAGGTGTGTTCCAGAAATGTCTTTGGCTGTCATGGGAATTTGCCTCATATTCCCATGACAGCCATAACTCATGCTATGCTATCGTCTATGTCCTGGAAGATGGCCTAACATGAGTCTGTCTGAGTTCCAGGACCTGTGCTCATTAGCGAACGGTCTCACTTCTGCTCTCTGTTTCAATTAGCTTATTACAGCACAGCAAGTATATTATTTACACATTCATGCACCTCATCATCTTCTTATTCTTACAGTGGCTAGCTTCACATCAGCCTCCTGTGAAATAAATATTTAATAACCACAATTAATCTCATTAATGTCACAGTTAACATATTGAGGGTGGGATCTGCTCCCATGAGCTGACGGCTATAGATCTAAGACCAAGGCTGTACAACAATAACAACAACAACAACTTATTCTTGTATAGCTCTAAATCACGACATAAGTCATCTCAGAGACTTAACAAAACCATTGAAATCACCAACACAGATCAGAGAATCAACAGTTAAAACACAAAATATACACATATGAATTGGTCCATAGGGAGAGACCAATGTCCATGAATGTTGATAAATGTCATACATGTTGTAGAATGTTAAAGTGTCCTGGATCACCACAGTCCTTCTAGTTGGACACTAACTGCCCAACAGACCCTCCTGCATCGGCAAGGAAAAACTCACAAAAACCCAGTGGGAAAAAAAGTGAGAAACCTCGAGGAGACCCACATTTTGAGAAAGGGATCCGCTCCTACACGGACGGATGGGCTAATAATCCACCAGCGGTCGCAGATTGAGGGGGGCAGGGCAGTCCGCAGGTGTACAACAGAGATCGAGGCCACACGGTGCAGGACTGAGGTAGCTCCCAGGCGGGGAGGGAGGGGGTACAGCCCACTAGTCCGGGCCGGGGCAGACGAATGCAAGAGACCCGTCCCTACAGCTTCCTGATTGGATTCAATGAAGTCAAATCTCGGATTGAACCAATGAAGAGAGCCCTCACCTGTCTAACTACACAGCTGTCTAACTATTCAGCCGTCTTAACTTCTTCCCACTCCTATTCGAGCTGACTTTTTTTAATAAAACAAAACATGGGCTGGTGCTCTGTGTACTTGGACTGCCACCCCTCCGACCCAGAAATGGATTAAGGGGAAGAAGATGGATGGATGGAAAACAAAACATACTGTATATGTATTGTGTTGTTTTTTTCTATTGTGTTGTTGTTTTGTTGTTGTTCTTTGCTCTTGTAATAATTCCTTCATTCAGTTTTTGAGATCCAGAGTGGGGAAATTTCAATGTTGCATCACATCATATTCTCCTCCAGCAGTCTTTTCAAAGTTAAATGAAACTTCATACATCACCTTTAAACGACTGAAGCACATGTGTATTGAACAAAATGCAGAATTGGAGGCAACAGATGTGGGGCAATTTTTGAAATTGCATCAAATCAAGTGTTGTTGGTGTAAAATGTGTAAAAAAAAGTGTAAGATCCAGCGATTAATCCTCGACTAGATTATTTGACAACCATTTCAATAACCAATTCGGTGTGCTTCAGGCCTCATAACAAGTGAAAACTAGTATCAATGATATATAATTTAACATTTTAGATTATGTGACACAGAATGGACTATAGCTAATGGATTGTGTATTTGTATGAAGGTTAACAGTTCATTTAGCGAACACTTCTCTCCATCCCTCAGACTGATGGAGTCTGCCGTAATGGCTCTTTTTCATTCACCGCGTGTGGATCTGATTGTGCGGCCGGCATTAGAATTCTGCCGCACTGACTATGGTAATGCTCTGCTCCGATGCTCCCAACACAAAAGCCTTTGTTAATGGCTTCATTGAGAGCTACTGAATGTGACTTACAGGGACAACTTAATTATTTATACAGTATAAGTGGAGAGAGTTGAAAAGTTTAGATGCGCACAACTTTTCCTTGATGCTCCGAAAAGTTTCTTCTTTCCAACACGCGGCTCCATCTGTTTTAATTAATCCTCATCAGCCTGTTTCTCTCAGTCCAAACGCTTCTTTTGCAATCTGTTAATTACAGCCCCTTCACTCCATAGTGTTTCATCAATGCATATTTGTTTTCTTCTTTTGAATTCTACCAAACCCATATTCAATACAAGTATGTATTTTTGTTTTCTTGTTTTAAATCCGTCCATAATGAAAAAGATGGGCCATAAACCACACTTCCACAAAAAAGGTTTTCCTTTCTCTCTTTATTAAAAAACAACTATTATAATCAATAACCATGCATTAGGAAATAACCTTGAAAATGTCCTAGATTCTAGCAAGCGCAGTAGCATTAGCATTAACTTTATTATTCACCTGTCTTTAAAAACAGCCAATCGTCCAGTTGAACTTGACAAAACGTGACATCAGCCTCAGAAATTCCATGTTGCTCGATCTTGAATGTGAACGTGATGGCACTCGTGGTCGTGAGAGTAATGAGTCAATCAAGCCGTGTAACTTCTCAGAGATTCATCACAGCAGCAGCTTTCATGTCCGACAGGGAAACCACAGGAACTACCTGTCATACATACATGGGCATTCCGCAACTGTAAAACCATAATCTTCCGGTTTATCGTTTAATGGGTTCCGGGGGTGGGGTAGTAGTCTGAGCAGAGATACCCAGACTCCACACTCCCTTGTTTAGGGCACTCCCACAGTGTTCCCAGGCCACCTGAGAGACAAATGCTGCTTTTCAATAGGCATGGTACGGCACGGTACGGCACGACCGGGTGTGGGTGCTTTTCCATTAAAAAAAGACCCTCCAAGTATCAGCGTGGGAGGGGTTGTCAGTAACTAGTAACATTGGTCTTATGCGTCACTTTATGTCATATACCTAAACATTTACTTTGCCCTTGTGTTTTGACCAAAAATAAAACTTTTTGTTTCTAGCAAATGTCTCCATCCTTGTGCATAAGTTACCAAGGTTATATGGATTTACTGACAAATATAATGTATGTCATGTAAATAAAAATAAAAGTGTATGGTTGGAAATTGTAACTTTTGCTTCTGAACCCCTTTTCTGCATGTGTCTCCTCACTTGTTGGAAGAAGAAGGTCCTTTATTCTTGGAAGGGATTCACAAACAAATAAATATGCACACGACAACTTAAGTACAAGCACAAAACAGAATGGCAACACGTGAAAGAGCAAGATACAGCATGCTAGAAGGACGTTTTAGCTTAGCTTGCTATTGATAGCTAAATGTAGCTATCTCACTGTGTACAACAGACAATCAAACATTTACACGAGTAAATACATTTCAGTGAGAGCTTTGGGCCAACGGGATTCATAGCTAACCAGTTATTTCCAGAATTACCACAGACTAGTCACAAATCAAGAGCGACCTCCCTGAAAACTTTCTCCTTCCGTCTTGTGCCATCGAGCTGCCTTTGAATTCTTTCTTCGGCCTAAAGAGTGTAACGTGTGGACCTCGTCGACCGACCAGGACTTTGACCTTTGGGGCTTTCAGTTCGATTCTATTTCTCTGGAGTGAGGAGGACGTGTTGAAGCAGAGCAGCTGGTTTTAAAGATGGCGGGGTTAAGTTGTTTTTAACATAGGGTCGGACGTTGCTTCCAGTGACGACATTTGTTGATCAATCAGAGTAAGGCAGTCGGCACATTATGGTGTGGCTTCGGCTCGCTTGGAACCACTGTTGAGGTGGTACAAAAAAAGTACCCTTACCCCAAGCCCAACCCTAGTGGAAATGCAAAATGACCGCCGTGCTGTCCCTTGTCTTCCTTGGGGTCTCCTCCCGGTGGGACATGCCCAAACACCTCTTCCCCAGAGAGACATGGAGAAGCAGCAGCTCTACTTCAAGCTCCTCCTTTATGACTGAGCTCCTGACCCTCTCCTGAAGGAACCACCCAGGAATTCTGAAACAAACACTGATTTGGGCCCCTTTTGGTTTACTATCCAAAGCTCATGACCAGAGGTGAGAGTGGAAACATGAGGATAACGCCGTTCCCAAAGTGTAAACACACAGTACATTCATAACTGGCAGTAGCTCATGAGGTTTTTCATCTAAACCTACAGTTGCGGACTCGCACGGATGGTTTCATTGTTTAGTGAAACTGAAAGAAATCCTACACTGGGAGCTCTGTCTGCGCTGCCAAGATAAATATTTGATTGTTTATGTGATTAACTATGATTTTAGTTTGAAGATATACTTTATTTCCAACAGTAAATTCTTTTCTCTGACATTGATCCATTCTTCCAGTGCCACTAGGGCAAGCCTGTCAGAAGCAATGGTCTAGATGCCCGACAAGAAGATTTGACCTGTGGTGCATGTCTTGGATTACAGATGCGTGGTGTTATTATTGGACCATCTCTAAACATTGCATCGCTGCGACTGTTTGCCTCGCCGATAGCCTGGAACAAGACTGGTTTACTTAATATCTTTAATGCAGTCTGAATTCTCTCTTCATACACGCACACTAATAGACTCCACCTCAATTCACGTCCATCTCGGCAGCCCACTTCTTCTCCTGTGATCACAACTTTTGTTAATGTTTAGATCGGTTTCCTTTCATGAATATTCTGCAATCTCATTTCCCACAGCTAATTAGACATCACCAAACGACGTGACGAATGAAACCTCTCCTTACACAACCTCGCTGGTTTGATGGCAAGCCTATCAGATGGCTCGCTCAGATTATCATGCCGAACAGCAGCACAAATAAATGTCAGAAAAAGTCAGGCCGTTCATCTGTCTTTCTCTGGTGGAGGCTTCGTTTAGCAGGAGGAAGATTAGCTCTGACTGGGATGGTTCCAGTGAGCGCCCGCAGCAGCCGTCCGCCCATCAGGCACAATCGCCGGCTTCATTAGCAGGCCGTGGGTTTCCTTTGTTCGCTCCTTCAGCCCAAGCTTCCATCTCAGGATAATAGCCCAAAACTTCCGCACTCAAATACACAAACTTTCATCCAACCCTGCGTGGCATATAAATACATTTCCACTCTTCTCTCTTGCACATAACTTGGAAATTTACACATCCAAATGCAAGCCGAGCTCTCTTGTACATATGCAACACCATTTGGTGAGGGAATGATATGTGTGACAAGCCTGACATTACATATGCCATCTTCTTCTGCCGGGTCTCCAGTGAGGCCTCTGGCAGTTTTGCAATTCACAAGAAAAGTCTGTCTCGTGGAAATGTCCTGGCTCCACTTTCTCCAGCGTCATTTCAGAATGGAAAAAAGCAACCAAAAAAAATGTTGCCAGTGCAGTTGTGGACGCGATTGAAGATGCCGTACCTACAATATATGTTCTATATTCTAGCATGTGAGAAATAGTAAGACGCAGGGCAATTTTCTCTCTTGGTGGTCCAGGAATCATGAGCGATATGTAGGCTACTTTATTTTTCAAGGGTTGGAGTATCGTGTGTCATACAAAACTATAGTACTGCAGCTGACAGGTGAGGCGCACCGAGGGAGAAGTGGTTGAAACATGCATGATGCGAATAATAGTGCAATCAAATCGAGAAGGCAGAAGTCACATCCATTTCCCGTAACAACTCTGTTCTGTCTGCTATTGCTATAGGCCAAAAGCAAAATAATAATAATGAAAAATGCCAGACTGGAAACTGTCGACTAGCCGTGATCGTTCTAAAGAGAATTATAAAAACAGAAGGAACCATGAAAGCTGCTTTACCTAAGCATCAATCAAACCACAAAAACACGGAACTCTCTCATGAAATGGATTGAAAGAGTTCCTGGCACTAAAACAGTTCAGTTCGATCCAATATTTTAGTATTGTTAAAAATGCGAGAATCAAACAATTATAACACAAGAAGAGCCAGTGCTCCTTAAGGGAGTGGGATGACCAATGTTCATAAATATTCATAAAGGCCTATTGCTTCAGAAAGAATACTTTGCAAGACCTCAAAATATTTCAATCGTCAAATGACCTCAAGCTTCATTGTTGCATTAATTTGGTTACATTTGGTTACAGCTGCTGACAGGTTGTCTTCTGTATTATTCTGGATTATTCCTCTTGCCATGGCATCCTCCTCAATGGTTCTATGGCTTCTTACTTTTGGATAATTACAGCAGACCATTAGATGATTGTAAACTATGATTGCTTTTGATACTTTATCTTCCGTCTCTCATTAAAGCCTCACGAACAAGATAAGTAGTTTACCCTTCTGCTGAACCTGCGTGTCTAATTCCACTTGGCTCTGGTTTCTTTCAGTTTGGGGAGATGCTTTTGCTGTTGGAAGCATTGGACAGTGCAAAATGTTCTTTCCTTTTGATTGTAAACCTTACTGGACACATGTGTACAAATGAGACCACTCTGCCTTAGTGCTGTCACCATACTAATACTGATACTAATTTGACACTAGTATCAAAATCGACTGTCAAGTTAGCGAGCTTATCGAAACAACCAATTGAAACTGTTGTCAACTCATTAATACATTGTTTTTGAAGCTTAGATAGACCTAAACTTGCTGAGAAGAGGTTTTATGATTCATATAATTCTTGATGTCTGCAGATGAACTAATCAATCATCAACATAAGCTTTACATTACAGCCCTAATCTGTACCAATTACAGTGCTATGGCAGTTTTTATAAATGTTCTTTTTGGGCAATTTTTAGTTGTATTTCATGTTAACGTTAATGTTTTAGGCAAATTCTTTCAATATAGAAAAACTCAAAATGTGTTATCGCCCAATATAATGTAGCTTCAGTTTTCTATGTGCAAGGCATTTCCAAACGAAGGCCTTATTGTGGCCCTCAGTGTCATGTTATTTGTTCCTATAGTTTTGAGGTCATAAACACAAGTTGGCAGTGTCATCCAGCCAACTTCTGCTCCACCAAGACAGACATGCCATTTCTTGTTGTAAAGGTCAGAACCTCTGGAACTTAATTCAATTGACTTTGTTTGTGTTACAAAATTCATTCAGTTTTGGCGTTAAGTTAACTAGTGAGATGGTAAACATTTGTCAATTAACCAATATCAGCTCTGAACTCATTTTACAATCCATGTACACGACCCCTGGACAATTCTGATGCGTTATACAATAGTTTTTGATTATTATTATAGTTATTTTGACAACCCTATTGATCAATCAAAACAGTTATATTGTGGGCACTTTAATTGAGACAGTCCAATTTGATGAAAAAACGTTGGGCAGAAATATCTCTCAAACTTATTCAACATTATCAAAGTGGAAAAAAAGGTCAGTTTTGTTCAGAAAAGGTTCCATTCCTGTGAGGCCTTAGAAATGGTGCACTAAGATGGTTTGTGTGATCAATTATGCTCGCTGGTTCACTGCCTGAGGTTATTCTCTGCTTTGGACACTGCTGCTTCACTGGGTTTCTACTGTCCATGTGTGATTATCCAACATGTAATGAGCCAGGGTTTTATTCGCTGGTTACACTGGATTTGTCAAAGAATCAATATTTTACAAGAAAAAGTAACGCTCCTTCTTTTTCATTCTCATTCATTCATTCTCTTTAAAACATTCTTTCTTTGAGGTGCAGACGTGGAAAGTGTTGCGTTAGAAGTCCAAACAAAGTCTTGCCCAAATGGAAGACTCTATCAAACTTTAATGAAGCCAAGTTTGTAGAAAAAACATAACTAAAAACAAATCTTTAGTGACACAAATGTGAATTGTCAAACTGTTTTGCTGCACAGAAATTAGTTTTACTGGCTGCTGCCCAAAGATTAAATATATAACTTGATTTTATGTGAGTAGAATTACAGTGATTTACTCTGCTCTATTATTTAGAAGCGCGATTGTGTGCAAATATATCATGCTAATAGCCTATTTGCTAATATGCGGCTAATGTAGGGGTGAGCAATCCCCGGTCTGTGGGTCAGAAGAAGCCCTTTGGACGTTTCTCTTCAGTTTATATAAATGTATTATTGAGACTAAACCCCCCGTGCTGCGTGGCGCTCTGGAGTCACAGTCGCACTCCTCGCTCTGCTGCACCTCTCTCTCTCTCTCAGCAGGTGTCAAAGCCAGCTCTCCGCGGCAGCCCCTTCTCGCCACAGTCTGCACTAAACTCTTCCTGCCCTGCTGTGTCCCTTCATCCTCTCTTTCCTCTGTTTTCTTTATTTTTCTGGGACCCTCACAGTCATCACTGCACACGCTGTTATACGACACTGCTGCTTATTTGATTCTTGCGATAAAAAGCATTGTATCCACATTTATTAATCTGAATAAAAGTAATCTGATATAACCGGAATGTGTCCAGCACAGGCCGAGAGGTTGTGGCCCGGAAAGAGATGACTTCTGTGAGACGACTCCTGTGAGATGACTCCTGTGAGATGACTCCTGTGAGCTGACTCCTGTGAGACGACTCCTGTGAGAGGACTCCTGTGAGCTGACTCCTGTGAGCTGACTCCTGTGAGAGGACTCCTGTGAGATGACTCCTATGAGCTGACTCCTGTGAGATGACTCCTGTGAGCTGACTCCTGTGAGACGACTCCTGTGAGATGACTCCTGTGAGATGACTCCTGTGAGCTGACTCCTGTGAGATGACTCCTGTGAGACGACTCCTGTGAGATGACTCCTGTGAGATGACTCCTGTGAGACGACTCCTATGAGCTGACTCCTGTGAGACGACTCCTATGAGCTGACTCCTGTGAGACGACTCCTGTGAGACGACTCCTATGAGATGACTCCTGTGAGATGACTCCTGTGAGAGGACTCCTGTGAGATGACTCCTGTGAGATGACTCCTGTGAGCTGACTCCTGTGAGCTGACTCCTGTGAGACGACTCCTATGAGCTGACTCCTGTGAGACGACTCCTGTGAGCTGACTCCTGTGAGACGACTCCTATGAGCTGACTCCTGTGAGATGACTCCTGTGAGATGACTCCTGTGAGACGACTTCTGTGAGCTGACTCCTGTGAGCTGACTCCTGTGAGACAACTCCTATGAGCCTGGCCTAGCCTGGCCTTATCCATCCGTACACTCGGCTCAATCATCATTTCACTGCATGTAACGTCTGGGTCTGGTCCCTGTGTTAGCGAATACAATCTGTTGAATTTCGACCGACCAATCAGAGAGCGTGGGAGGAGAGTGTTGTATTTATCTGTGGGTGACATCAAGAACCTGCGTCGAACGGGAAGGTTGTACTTTGGCAATGGCGAAAAATTAGATAGTAAAGTAATCCAGTCTGGTTCTATCAAGAAATAGAAGTCGCTGTAGCTAAATCTTTGTGTCAGAAATGTCGATGTATGTAAAAGAAAAAATGGAGAAGGAGGCACTCTGAAAACTGTGTTCTTTTTAATGACCGACGCGTTTCGACCAGAGTCTTCGTCAGGGCAGTGAGTGAGTCTATATTGTAACGTGAACCATGTCTGATAAGTTCAGCTGCCACTCGTGTTCTCTCTCTTCTAAAGCTTTTGTCTTTTCTGCTGAATGTGCTGGTCCTAGTCGCAAGTACCTCTGCGGCCCAAACTCCTGGTACCTGAGCACTGGTACCGTGCTCCCAGGGCCCCAGCATATTGTAATTCGGGCGTTCTGCTCTCCCAAAATTTCATCCACTGAGCGGCGCTGTGATCAAAAAATGACACCGTTTGTTGCCCAGTTCACTTCCGGTTGATTTCATACAATGGCGAATATGGCTCAGGAAAACTACAAACGATTGACAGTGCCTGAATTGCGTGAAAGGTTGAAGCGAAAGGGTATTTGCAGTGTGGGAAAACGAAAGGAGGAATTGTTGTTGCTAGTTCAACGAGCGAATGGTGTTTATGAAGATTTAGGAGAAGATGACAGCGAGCAGAGTGAACGAAAACGGCTGTGTGTGCGAGTGACAGATGGTAACAATGAGAATGAAGTTCAGCTAAGAGGGAAGAATGTGAATTGGACGGATGATTTGCGCGATATGCCACTAGTTAGAGACGGGAATGTATTTGCATACAGAAAATGACGAAAACACTCAACCATTTAGAGAAAATGCGCCGGGCAGAGAGAACCGGAAGTTGCGAAGGCAAGTGTTACCCATAATGCAACGCAAAATTCAGTCGCTCCCCCGCCCATCGGATGGAATTTTGGGAGAGCAGAACGCCCGAATTGGCGCCTGTTCGCCATCTACACCCTCTCCTCTGGAGATCCGGACGCCGTGTGTTTCTTCAGACTCAGATACCACGCACGTTTCCAATCAAAGACTCGGCAAAACTTGGCAAAACTCATCTCATGATGATCCATAACTTTGGCGATGCTTATTTGTGGTAAAGACCCAAAGAGCTTGTGTCGGTACAACTGAATTTTGTGATCCCAGCTTCCTTACATTACACATTTGTAAACTAACTGAATTGCATTTCTGTGTGTCCTGACCGTAACGATTGCCTGAGACTGTTTGAAAAATGCACCCTTAGTTATGTAAAAAAGTAATTACCAAAACACTCTTTTGTTGCCTTTCTGAGGGGAGTTTGCATATTCTTTGTGTCTGCATATGTTTCCTCCGGTTTTCCCAACCACTAAAAAGGTGTGCAAAACCACCCTCTCTGGTGCCAGGACTCCCCTAAAAAAAGACATTCTGAAAACTCAGTGAGAATTTTCTGGTTAAATAAAGTCCATTCATTTCTTATGTTTCAGGATTACTTCAGGAATCTCTGAAACCATGTATTTGACACTGTGTCTTTAATTGTATTCGGTGTATATTAATTTATTAAAACCCACAAAATTAAACAGCTAAATCAACAACAATAGACGATAAGTGATTCTATTCCTGATGGTAACTGCTGCAAATCTGCAACTTTATCATCATGATTTAAACAAGGGATGTCAAAGTCAGTACATCAGAGGGCCGAGGGCTGAACTGGTTCAAAGTTTATTAAAACATATTAAAATGATGGCATAAGATGATTTTATTTAATGTTTGATTGATGAATAACCAAGTATTTTTTTAAGGCTCTGTCAGTAATTTCAAGTTAACACATTATTCAACAAGCTCACAGACAAAAACAAAGAGAAAACACGTGTCCTGAACTGTAAATTAATAACCCAATATTTTCTTACGGCTCTGTGTGTCCCGGTTCTAAAACTAATCAAATATCATTTCGGGGGCTAAGATAATTCCTTCATGGGGCAGATCTGGCCGCCGGGCCTTGACTTTGACACCCATGTTTTAAGCATTTGATACAGACAGCGACGCCGTCAGAATCACTTGCTCGGTGAAAGGAGCAGAAAGACATCTTGTGGCAGAATTTTCTTTGTTGAATTATACCATCTTGAGATACTGTACTTATATGACACACACATGTTCACTCTAAATCCAAAATTTGTTTTCACTTGTGGTGCACATTCAACAGTAGATTCAATAGTAAAATAAAAAAGCAAACTGTTATTTCAATAATTGATTATTTATTTGTTATTTTATTTAATCTTTAATTCAGACACACAGAGGGTCCATATGGAACAAAAACTTGCGATGAATTAATTGACCTGCGACAGCCCTAATAATCATAATAATCACCATTATAAACATATTCATAATCATTTCTTAAAGTTACTGTATCTTGTCATATGCACTTCAAACCATTTGCAGAGTTCCCGGTGAGATGCGGTGCTGTTTTCAAACCTCTGAGTTACCGCAGCTGCATTTATGAATTCCGCAGCGGTTTTGGCCATGAGCTTTTGGAGTATTTGTCCACAGTGACGAGCGCGTTTGTCAAAGCAAAGTGGTTCTAATAGTGCATCAATAATGTATCTGATGGCCCCATAAGAGGAGCGTGATAGACAGCTGCACGCGGCCAGAGGAAGTGTGAACAGGGAATGCAAAAATCCAATTAATACTCATCATTCAGCATAAAGTATTCATAAAAATAAACATCTGCAAATACGGGCCGGCTTTCAACTCTCCGCCATTTTAATTCATGAGATCCGTGTAAGTCGCACATGTTCTCAGTGTAGTGAGTTTGACTACTTGTTTTGTCAATTTTCTCTGCTTTTTTTTATTGGTGAAAATACAGACGTACAATATAGCCACAGACATACAAACAAATACAATAAGTACGTAAGTAAGTCACAGACCAGAGTTACGAAGCGCTTTACAAATGTTATGTGCATTTGTCTCTCCCTCCACACAGAGATGGGAGTGAGGTCGCCATAAAGGAGGCACATGACAGAGCTATTGTACATGTTTTTCATGTTTTTAGTGGAAGAGGAAACCGGAGCATCTGCAGGAAACCTACAAAAACACAGGGAGAACATGCAAACTCCACACAGAAATCCCTGGAGGTGGAATCAAACTTGGACTTTCTTGCTGTTAGGCGCAATCGCTAACCACTGCGTTACCGCGGCACCCAAAAAGACAGAGACAAAGAAGAGACAATATTGTGGACTCTTTAATGGCTGTCTGTGTGTGTGTGTGTTTGTGTGTGTGCGTGTGTGTGTGCACTTATCTTAGCGGTTTGATCCATCCACCCACCACTATCTTTGCCCCTATTCTCTTCCTTTTTTGTAGAAACCAAATGCGTTTAAGGTGGTTTATTAAAAAAGCTGCAATGGGAGCATGTCCACTTGGGGTGTGCTGTTCCGAGGACATCTCCACGTGTCCTCTCCCCCCCTTAGCCACGTTTATATGAATTTTTTTCTTCTTCTTTTTTGACCACACAAAAGAGGGTGGTGGGAGGATTAGAGCGAGCTGCAAGTTTATGAATTGAGTCGGGTATGAATGGTGGTAGTGGTGACACTGAGGGCCAATTTCTGAGTAAGAAAATGATAATGATTGTAATGTATGACTTTGGGCCGAGTATACATTACAATCAATATGCCATGAGTGCTGCGTTCGACACAGTCGACCACGAGATCCTCATGCAGAGACTAGAGCACTGGGTGGGTGTCACTGGGACTGCCCTAAGTTGGTTTAGGTCTTACCTAGAAGACAGGAAATACTTGGTTCAGATAGGAAACTGTGTCTCAGATCATATGGCTCTGACCTGCGGAGTGCCACAGGGATCAATTCTGGGGCCTCTTCTGTTCAATATTTACATGCTGCCGTTAGGTCAGTTAATACGCTCCAACAATGTATCCTACCACAATTACGCTGATGACACTCAAATTTATGTCTCACTTACTGCAGGAGAACATGGACCAGTGGAATCACTCCTTCACTGTACTCAACAGATTAGTGATTGGATGCAAAATAACTTCCTTCAGCTAAACGCAGACAAAACAGAATTGATTGTCTTTGGTCCTCAGAAACAAAGAGAGAGCGTTATTCGTCACCTCCAGTCTCTCTCCCTGGAACCTGTAGGCAAGGTCAGAAACCTAGGAGTTATAATGGACTCAGACTTAAATTTTAACAGTCATATCAAATCAGTAACATCAGCAGCATTTTACCATCTGAAAAACATTGCCAAAATTAGAAACATAGTGTCTAAATCAGATCTGGAGATTCTCATCCATGCATTTGTCTCCAGTAGGTTAGACTACTGCAATGGCCTGCTCACAGGTCTCTCCAAACAGGCTGTAAAACAACTGCAGTATGTCCAAAATGCTGCAGCTCGAGTCCTGACCAGGACCAGGAAATATGACCACATTAGTCCAGTTCTCAGGTCTCTGCACTGGCTTCCTGTGGCTCAGAGAATAGACTTCAAAGCAGCACTGCTTGTGTACAAGTCTCTCCATGGCCTCGCATCAGGGTACTTAAGCGACTTGTTAGTCCCATATGAACCGGCCCGGACTCTGAGGAGCACAGGAGGTAGCCTCTTACTGGTTCCAAGAGTCAGAACTAAACATGGGGAGGCAGCGTTTGAGATTTATGGAGCTAAAATCTGGAACAATCTTCCTGAGGATGTGAGGCTAGCATCTACTCTGGCAATTTTTAAATCAGGGCTAAAAACTGTTCTTTTTAGCTGTGCATACGGCTGAAGGATTTTATTGATACATACTCTTTTTTTTAATGCATTGTGGTTATTTATTATTTTAATCCCGTGTGTGCTTTTAATATTTTAAGTTTTTTTTTTTTTTTTTTTTTTCATTACTTGTGATTTTATTCTGTTTTTAATGTATTTATTGATGTCTCTGATTTGTGTGATATTATGTGGGTTGTGAGGCGCTTTGAGTGGCCTTGTGTTGGAAAGGCGCCATACAAATAAAGTTGATTGATTGATTGATTGAAAGCTCCAGTGTCTATTATCTACTCTGTCTGGTGCACACAGGGGTTAATAAACCTAACATGAATTGAAAAACTTGACAATTGTCTGCTAAAAAAGATGAAAACTAACATATGTATGAGTGGATTCATTTTAATATTCTGAACATTTTCACAAACATAGTCGCTGGTGCATTGTCCTTGTTGAGGCTCTGCATGGTTATCAAATCCTTATTAGGACAATGGAAAAACGTCAGGCTTTTAAACAGCACAAATGTATGCTACAATCAGAAGACTCGGTAAAATCGGCGCAACCAGGCTTTCAGCTCCTGCAGGGTCACACATGGCAACACCGTGTGGAGTTTGCATGTTCTCCCTGAGTCCGCTGTCTCGCCTCTGCGTAGACAGAGGCGAGTAAATGGAGAAAATGGAAAATCACACTTACCATTAGAAAAGTGCTGTGTGTGACCTCAATGGATGTAATTCACTATATAAAGTAGGATTACTTTCTTTATTAACACAATTCTTTTCAATATGATCGCAGGCACATGGCCTTGGAGGCAGGCGACGCTTTACTCGAGAGTGAGGTTTACACATTTACATTGAACGATGCTTATTTTGTGTCTTGTTTTCCAGTTCATGATGATCGTTTCCTTGGCGATTTCTCGGGCAGCGGAGTAGTTTAGTTGTTTGTACTGAGATTAGTTGTGAAGGTGTAACCAGATATGCATAAAGTGGGGGCACAAGGGATGCACCAGTAGAAAAAAAGAGGATCAAACATCTGTGATTTATGAATGAAGGTGCAATGTCAGGAAACATGGAAGAAGGTGTCTGTGCAGTTAGTACAGTAAGATCAGGTGAATCCCATTTTTTTATATTCTACGTAGTGTGTTCTATGGTGTAGTAGAACAAAGGGCAAAGGCAAAGAAAAAAAATGAATATAACAAAAATAGAAATTATAACAAAGATTTGGGCCAAACTAAAGTAAACAACTAAATCAGACAAAGAAAACCTAAGAGAAAATAAACAAACCAACTATGAACTAAGGAGAGGCTTAAAGAGCGACTAAACACCTGTGCCCAGCCTGACTCCGCCCACATAAACATTTTAATTTTCTCTAAAAAAGGGCCTGGACGACCAAGGGACAAGAAGGGGACTGAGAGTTGGGCGTGGTCTGGGCTGTGATTGACAGCTCGCTTGTCACACACACAAAAACAGACCGTTTTCATTGCTGCTTAAAGCATTAGTTTACACACCAGAAAGTCTCATTCTACCCTTGTTTACACACTAAGATCATTGTAGAGCTACACACCTGAACCTAAGCCACAGAATTATCTCAGCAGCAGCGGTTGTCAACTCATGTAATTTAATTTTAATCCACTAGATGGCACCAGAATACTCCAACCTGCTGCTGAGGCGTGTGTGAGAGATGAATGGGTTTATATCACTGGCACAGACAGACGCACGTCACACACACCAACTGACGTCACACACACCAACTGACGTCACACACCAACTGACGTCACACACACCAATTGACGTCACACACACAAACTGACATCACACACACCAACTGACATCACACACACCAACTGACGTCACACACACCAATTGACGTCACACACACAAACTGACATCACACACACCAACTGACATCACACACACCAACTGACGTCACACAAACCAACTGACGTCCCACAAACCAACTGACGTCGCACACACCAACTGACGTCACACACACCAACTGACGTCACACACACACCAACTGACGTCACACACACCAACTGACGTCACACACACAAACTGACATCACACACACCAACTGACGTCACACACACCAATTTACATCACACACACCAACTGACGTCACACACACCAACTGACATTACACACACCAACTGACGTCACACATACAAACTGCCGTCACACACCAACTGACGTCACACAAACCAACTGACGTCCCACAAACCAACTGACGTCACACACGCCAACTGACGTTACACACACCAACTGACGTCACACACACCAACTGACGTCACACACACACCAACTGACATCACACACACACCAACTGACGTCACACACACCAACTGACGTCACACACACACCAACTGACGTCACACACACACCAACTGACGTCACACACACACCAACTGACGTCACACACACCAACTGACGTCACACACACCAACTGACGTCACACACACCAACTGACGTCACACAGTATTACAGTCAAAGGAGAGGCCAGAACCAAATTCAAATGTAGTACCACCAAAGAGGCAGAGAGGGCGCCACACAGACGTCAAAAGTGAGATATTACCTAATTTGCACTAAAATGTCAAATAAAATGACCATGATATGTAGAGAGCACTTCAATAAACATATGTATGCAGTCTATGAGTTAAAAAAAGTTGATTTGGTGTTTAATCGCTCTTTAACTAAAAGAGTAACTCAAATTGGTCCACAAGGGGAAATGCTAAACTGAAATATAATGTGTGGTGATGTCTCTTCCCCCTTCCGAGTCCTTGGAACCAGTGCGGAAGTGGAGCGGTCTCTTATTTCTCAAGGTGTTAGGGTTATTCCAGATGTGTGTATGAGTGGATTTAGTGATTACTTTTTTGCGTTTTAATATTCTGTAAATTTTTCACAATTATAGTCGCTGATGCATTGTCCTTGTTGACACGTTCCTCCCTTCAACCAAGCATTCATTTTTGAGGCTCGGCATGGTTATCAAATCCTTATTATGATGATGGAACAATTGCAGGCTTTCAAACGGCACAAATGTATGCGACAGTCAGAAGACGCTGCCAGATCGGTATAATCAGGCTTTCGTTATGTTTTATTTTTCTGCAAGATAATAATTCAAATGTATTTATTGATTTCGAGCAGTTGCTTGTTCTAACCATCCACATCAAGAGAAGAAACCACATGTTCTTGTACTGCAGGTATTCCTCAATCATTGGTTTGATTGATGACACAGTGTACAGACATGGTACATATAAGAAATACAGTGCTAACTTGATTATAGCAGGCTTTACGTCCAAAAAACAACCTGACATAGATAGATAGATAATACTTTATTGATCCCCCATAGGAGAAATTCAGGAAAATCATAAGCCATAAGCCAAATCTTCAAAGTAGCAGCTACAGTATATGTGTAAAGTCTGAAGAAAAAAAACCAACACACGCTTTATACACTTTTCTATCCACTTGAATAGCTGTAGTGTGATCGTGAAGATATCAAATCTGTTTGCTGTTGGTCTGAGCGCTGCTGCAGCTGTCAAAAGCAGTACATGCACTGTAAAATACAACTGGAGAGGACACTGCACTGAGGGGCAAGAGCAGGACTGAGGGCTGCGGTAAGTTAAGGTTTTACTAGCGGTTATATGACGTTGTTTATGGAGTTGTTGGAGTACACATGTGGTGTATACGCCCTGTACGCAAAAAAATCTGTGAAACAGTGAGGCCGCAAAAGGTTAAGGTGATATGCCGAGGGCCCTCTGTAAAGTAATGTATCGCACAGAGAGCATCGGACACACGGACAAACGCTGCTTATTCGTGGAATCTATCATGAGAATATTGTATGTGTGTAAATAAGCAGTGTTGGCACCATGACAGAGCTTATTGAGCTGTTTCCTACGGTGCCTATGGTACCAATATTGTCGTGTTTCCTTATTAAAAGCCCAGAAAATCTGGTCAGCAAGTTGACTTTAATGGAATATCCTGATATTTATCCCAAAGTGGTGTAGATGACGCCAACTGCAGCTCTGTCAAAATATGCACCCGCCATGCCTCTTGAACAGCCTGAATCCATGTTGTTTGCCCCTAAACAATTCTGATGAACCAAAGTGGCTCCTCTTACTAAAAGGTTGAGGCCCCCCAAAGAACAACTACAAATCTTGTTCTCGAGACTTATTGCACAGCATGAAGATCAGTTCCTGGGTCACTCAGGGCGATACTCTGTGAAGTTTGCATATTCTCCCTGAGTTTCCTCCCGTTTCCTCCAATTTGAATGGCTGATGATGGTCACGGTGTCTCGCCTCTGCCATTACTGTGTGGGGAGTGAACGGAAAATGACACCAACAATTTGAAAAGTGCCTTGTGTGACCTCAATCTGTGAAATGCGCAATCAAAATAAAGATGATATGAATAAAAATGACTTTACTTTCTTTACTCAAACAATTCTTTGCAATGTGAGGTCAAGCACACGGTCTTGGAGGCAGAGAGGATGTTGGTGAAGCTCGCCCCCACACAGGGTCACTGTGTACAGAGTGGCCTGATACACATATTTCATTTATATTTAGTTTAATTTTTGACTAAATGATCTTGAATATCTATGATCTTATGTTTTAAGGCAAAAAATTGGAAAGAACATAAGAAAATCCCCAAAACTCATTTGGATCCAGCACAAATGAGTTTAAAAAGGCAGAAAACATCTCTGTCCATGACGCCATAGTTTGAGGATTTGTCCAAGAGTTAGAGGTGTGAGACAAGAACGTTAAATTACAAGTTACAGGATAGATGGTCTAGACTTTAGAGCCACAACTTATTTTTGTCTACACCTAAACCAAGGTATCCATTGTTTACTTTTTGAAAAATTTTTTCCATTGTTATATTTAGTTTATATATTTATATTAGTTGGATGTATGTGTATTTTAAGTTAAGTGTGTGTGTATATACTGTATATGTATATGTGTATGTATGCACATATGCATGAGTTAGTATGTGTATGTTTGTACTGTATATGTACAAAAGATGCAACCGTATGACGTGAGATTTGGGATAGAGAGAGTGAAAAAAGTAAATCCTGGAATGTATTTATGGTTATGTTGATGTGCATGTTTGTATCATGTATAGTATGTTAATACTTTAAATTACATTTATGGATTGGAATGTATAAGGTTAAAGATTATAACATAAAAGTTATGCAGGTAATTGTGACCAAATATATTGTTATTTTATTTTATTTTATTTATTAACAAAGTGAGAAGGAACCAACCAATAAAATGGCATAATTATCTGTCAATACTAAAAAAATCAGTAAATTCCAAATTGAGTTCATGGCTGTTTGGACTGAACCAAAAATGAATATATGGTAAAGAATAGGTACTGCAGATTGATATAGGTATTACTAATTATTTGAGTTGAATGTTTAAATATAATCAATTATGTGGTTTCTGGAGAAAGTTCCATGTAAGATATATAAACCTCCTATGATCAGTGCAAGTTAATGGTAAGATCTGAAATCATGTTTAGACAAATGGGAAAAAGGGACTTGAAGTTAAAAGTTCCTGATTTTAAAGTGGAGAAGTCTGAAAACGACTCCAAGTATATTATTGGTAATAGAAAAATGCTGTCAAAAACTCCCAAAAGCCTGATTTACATAATATTTGTCCAATTGAAGCCCAGCCTTAGGTACCGAGTCTCACCACGACGCTTTCCTTGTTGATTCAGTTTTGTGAAAATATGGTTAATGGCAACTATTACAAAGAATCATTGTCGCTGTGCGTTTCCTACGGCACAACGAGAGCCTGTTCATAAAGCCACATTAATTCTTTTGTATTAACCACAAGCTCACTGTGTTCTCTCAGCAGCAACTTTCTCATTAGCTCGCGCCGTCAGAATGTCAATGAGCTTAGACTGGGCTTTCACTATGTATCCCCGTGTTTAGGGATCGGCTTTTGCTGTTCCAAAAATGCAGTTGTTGTCTTAGCTTTTTTTCTTCTCATTTCTTTTTTTTGGCAAGATTTCTGTCATAACAAAAAGGAAAAAAACACAAATTGGCACTGTAAAACTAATTACTAATTGCATGGCTTAGACTTTTTCAATTACAGTGAACATTTGGGCTTTATCAGGCTTCCACTGAAGTTTGACGTTTGGTCAGAGGCTTTTGTTCAAAAACATGAGTGATACTAAACTGCTCGATCCACTAAAGGAGAAAATTCACTGCTTTTTTCTACGTTTATACAAGGAACTACATACAAGGAGCTACATACAAGGAGCTACATACAAGGAACTACATACAAGGAACTACATACAAGGAACTACATACAAGGAACTACACACAAGGAGCTACATACAAGGAGCTACATACAAGGAACTACATACAAGGAACTACACACAAGGAGCTACATACAAGGAGCTACATACAAGGAACTACATACAAGGAACTACACACAAGGAACTACATACAAGGAGCTACATACAAGGAACTACATACAAGGAGCTACATACAAGGAACTACACACAAGGAGCTACATACAAGGAGCTACATACAAGGAACTACATACAAGGAACTACATACAAGGAGCTACATACAAGGAGCTACATACAAGGAACTACATACAAGGAACTACATACAAGGAGCTACATACAAGGAGCTACATACAATATACACATACAATACCACACACACAATTCTAAGTCTGTTCTTTGGCCTTTTGCAACATTTACTATATTGGCGTCTTCCCAGAAAATGCCAGCTCTATTTATACGTGAACGTCTAATGTCTGGGGGCCCACAAGAGCCAGGCCCACAAGAACCATGCCCACAAGAGCCAGGCCCACAAGAGCCAGGCCCACAAGAGCCAGGCCCACAAGAGCCAGGCCCACAAGAGCCAGGCCCATGTGATAACACCTGTCTTGGCTAAGAGGCGTGTTTGTCTGTCCTGTGTTGTGCTGCTGCTTCTTCCGTTTCATTCAGTGACGGACACTGGCTATATTCAGATTTTACCAACACTAACTTGAGTCTAAATGTACTAACTTTGGATTTAGTAAATTAGTAGGTTACCTCAAAACTCTGAGTAAGTTCAAACAACAGGCTTCAGGTACGCTCTGGGCCCCTCCCTCTTTGCTCCATTACAAAGTTACAGGATTATGCCACTTCAGACTCTGGGATCCTTACCGGTGGCACTTACAGTGATATTTTCACTCCATGGTCAGAATAGAACAGCATTGGGTAAATGATGAGGCCACACCTTCAGCCGACAGTGCGCTGCTGCAGTCACCTCAGCGAATGACAGCTGCTGGGAAATACACGCTCCTGTGCTCAGCGAGTGGTTGTGTAGGCCGACTGTGGCAGTGTGGGACCATGACACTTTATCCTCTGACCCAATGCTGTAAACAGTGTTAAAAACAATCATTTTTTGAGGCCAAAGTGCATGTCACACAGAGTGAACGTTTGTCCTGATGCCAAAAGAACTTCCTGCAGCCCTTCACCCAGTGTGTGAGATGAAGAGTGGTGTGTACAAGAGCCACATGCTAATGCCCGGCCTCTGTGCCACTGCTCTTCCCTGCACTGTACACTTGAATTAAAGATGGTCAGATCAACATGCTGCTGACCTTCACCACAAACAAGTCTGCCAGAGCTTTTCTGAGTCATGCTCTCCATTCTGTGGGGTCACTGATCCCAGATCAGCGTTTATAAGGATGTGATGATGATCCTCTTCATCGATACATTATGTAGACTTGGTGTCTCCTGCTGCTGATGTGGAAAAGACAGAGCATATACTTTCACAATAGAAGCATCAGTGAAACAAGCAGAAACAAGCAGTTTTTTTTTACTTATTATTTTTTGTTTGTGTTTGTTATTATTGTGTTTCCAGTGTGGAAACTGTTTGATTCTCTAATCTGTTGTTGTTGATTGCATAACGTCTCCTTTAAGGGAGCGACATCATCTATGGCCGGAGCAGGCACCAACCCAAGCCCCGGTGATCCAAGATGGCGCCGTATTCAAATGAATAGTTTGTGCTCAGTGGCGCTTTGTGCCGGCACGGTCGCTGACATATTACCGGAACTCGCCCGGAACTCGCAAAGATCCATGGGAAACTTGCCTATATTTGGGTATTGTCTGGTCCTCCCGGTTCTGCGCAGTGGATGATCTCCCATGATGCATGTGTGGCTCTCATGCACGTGCACAGAGAGGCTCGGCCTCGCTCTGACCAATCAGAGCTGCTGATCAGAGCGGGAGCTAGAGCGGGAGCCAGACAGGCAGAGTTTGTGGCACTAAAGTGTAGATCTAAAAAAAAAAAAAACGAAGGATTTAAGAATAAAAAAAGGATGACAAGGGACACTAAAATCCCCCACAAAAAAAAGCTTTATGAAAGCTGTAGGTTCTCTGTCAGGTTCTCTGTCTGCTGAGGTCGAGCTCTTTCAGTTTACATTGAGATCTATGGGGAATATTTCAGAGTAGCCCACGTGAATTTAGTCTTGTTTAGTCTGCAGTACCACAAGAATCCCCCGAGCACGTGGGTTCTTCAGCTCCGAGCTAGTAATACCCTATCCAGTTATTATATAGATCCATGCACCAACCACACAATTGGGACGAATGTTCTGCATAGATGCAAAGGCCATGACAGCACCAGAGGCTGGCCTTTGTGTGATAAACATATATTTGTGAGACTCCCTTGAGAATAAGCACGATGTGTCCAAGGACGCTGTATTCAGCTGTCTTCTCTTTGTGTGCGGCAGAAATAACCAAAAGATGAATCACATCAAAGCAGAGCAAGAGACCCATCTACAGCAAAAAGGGAATCACTGCCAATATCATGTAATGTTTAGTATCATATCGTAAGGGGTTTAACCAATAATAATTAGTCTTCTTTAACTTTCAAAATGTTGGATCATGTGAAAGTGGAGAAACATATTTTTTTCCAAACTATTCTAGTTTTTTGGTTTTTATTTACGGGACAAGTCAATATATAAGGGATAATGTATATTACGCAGGTCATTATTGGAAAATAAGTACCGACAGGGCGAAGCTGCGGAGGGGTCTGCTTCCGCCCTGAAGTTACTTATTTTCCGATAATGACCTGCGTAATATACATTATCCCGCTTATTATACGGCTTTGTACCAACAGAACACACAAAATAAACTTCAGTCCACTCTCAGGAATGCCGAAAGATTTATTTAATGATAGAAAATAGCACGCTGCGACTACTTTTGATCACAGTTGTGTCCTCAGTTCTTCAGGATCAATTCGGGGACTGTCGGCTGAGAAAATATTCTGAACAATTGATCCAATATCAGACTGTTATGAAAGTACAGTCGCCACGGTGACCACTGATTCATCCACTGGGTCACTACAAGGTGAAATACACAAACATATAAACTTCCAAGTTTTTTTAGATTTTGCATTTAATGTCGTATGAGGCGACAGTAGCTCAGTTGGTAGAGCGTTGGCCTTTGAGCCACAAGGTCGTGGGTTCAAACCCGATTGATTCAAAGACTTTCTCCATTGACTCCCAGTGACTCCCAGTGACTACTGTCATTGTGTCCTTGGCAAGACACTTAACCTCTGGGAACACCAGGTGCCACAATGGGGCGGCTGCGACTGTAAAGTGCCAAACTGCCGTTGTGTCCTTAGGCAAGACACTTCACCCCCATTGCCTAGAATGAGTCTGGTGTGTGTGAATGGTTGGTGGTGGTCTGAGGGGCCGATGGCACATACTGGTCGCCTCACTTCTGTCAGTGTGCCCCAGGGCAGCTGTGGCTACAGTAGTAGTTTATCACCACTGTGTATGAAGTGAAAGAATATCGACATATGGAGTGTCTTTGAGTGTCCAGAAAAGCTCTATATAAAACTGTTGCATTATTATTGATGATTAAAGTCAATAATACCCAAATGGTAGCAATATACCCTAAACTTGGGGTCCCCAACTTTAAAGCCATGAAAAAATGTTACTATATGTGATCAAGCCCATCTAGTAGTTCCTCGCTAAACTGTGAATAGTTTTCACATGCACTTTTGTCATGTTGTGGGTTTTATTTTGACATCAGTTTTCTGTGGTTTGGTTTTCATTACACTTCCTGTCTTGTTTCCCTGTGTTGATTGTTGGCCCCGCCCTGATGTGTTTCACCTGTGTCTGTGTCTATATGTACCTGTGCTCCTTTCCTCTTGTTGCTGGTTCATTGAATTGTCTTGTCTTGTTTGTTCATGTCTTGGTTCCGTTTTATATTTTGAATTTGTTCTCTTTGGACTTTAGTTTTTTCACTATTAAATCCTTTATATTTTTTCATTCCTGCATTTTGAGTCCTCCTCCATCTCACTTCATGACAATTTTGACCTCTGTCACAGCTTTAGATCATCTTTTTCATATTTAAAGTGACAGGGGACCACCCTTATTCAGCCAATCAGCACTCAGCCCAAGGCCAAAACTATACACATGTGAACACTATGACGAACAGAACTGTTTTGAGAGATTAAGTAATGGATTTTTACCGTCATATTTTTGTGTTTTAAAATATAGGAACCCCAGCTTTAAGAATCGTAGTAGTTCAACCGCAAAAAACAAATTGCCGTTTTGAGAATTTGTCAATGTCCTATCTTATCTCCATCCTACCTTCAACATTTTGAAGACATCAAATGCTCAAAGAAATGTAAAACTCTAATTGTATGGCACTAAAATATATCTAGCTTTTCAAAAAACTACTTGGTAAAGGGTAAATGGTCAGACTTTAAAATTTACTCATGGCACTTATCTGGTTTTGCCAATTAACAAATTAATTGATTGAATCCAAATCTTCACGCTGGCAGGACGTGGTGCACCATGGCCAAACGCGACACCCACAAATCAAATTCCTTTTTTTTTTTCTTGACGCTCCAATTGCAATTGAGGAGAGATCCGAGTGGAGAAGAGAGGACCGATCAGCACGCAGCGCTGGCTCATTACGCACAAACGCACAGTACGCGGGAGGAATTGGAAGCGGGAAACCTTTCAAACTAAAGCGCACGCAACACCCCAAACCCACTCCTCCCGTTACTGACAGCCTCTCCTCTTTTATCGGGCCGACCCTCTCCGGAAAGAGCTGCTCACCCAGACGCCAGCTTGACGCCACTCGCAGCCACAGTAACCTCTCCAGCTCAGAGCAAGGACTTTGTGAAGCTGGTTGGTGGATGCTTAACTGTCACACCGAAGAGCTATACTTTCGGGATATTCTACGTCGTTTTCCGCAAGAACAGAAGAGGAGCACCACGCATTGGCAGCAAGATGAACAACCCCGTCTACTGGGCTCTGCTGATCGGGATGAGCGTCCTGCTGATGGAACAAGGTACAAGCGATGGTTCTGTCACTATACGCGCGCACTTGTTTCGGGCTCCTCTCTGCAATTTGGCTTCAGTTAAGTCTGGCTCAAAACGCGACTTTGTGAGTGCGCCAGTTGATGCCAGTGTATATTTGACAGCAGGGCGCACTTGGCACAGCGACATCCCCGCGCGTAAAAAGCCATTAGAAGAGTGCACTTGAGCTTTGCATGTGAGCTGAATCCATAAGTAGTGATAGTTTAAAATCTACTCGTATCTCGCGTGTTTTGTTGGTGTGGTTTGGAAGTTTATCACCAGCAGGAGAACGCGCTGTTTTTTGCAGGGGGAGTGAATAGTGTATGGGAACAAGCGTGACTAAAATGTGGATATAGCGTGTGCAGTTTTGTATTCGCCAGTGGTCCCAGTGCTGTTTTGAATGCACCTGCTCTGGAGCTATGAGACTCAGAACCGCGCGAACCAGCTCCTCTATGGGGGAACAGTCTTGAACAAAGTTGATGTTGTCTTGTTGCCTATAACTGAATTAATGGACGCGCGTAAAACGGGTGATCAGAGTTTAATCCATGCGTTGATTTGAGTTTGGAACATGTATGCATTCAAGTGGTTATGGGCGTTTCTCCGGTGTCCAGCATGTGTACTGTCAGGGCAAGAAATTGGGTCAATGTGTCAAGGGTTTTGGATGTCATTTTCGTCTGCGTTTTTGTCCTAGCAACTAAATATATTGCATACAGGTCATAACTTTTTAGGTTGTGTTCCTGTAGATTTGTATTTTAGTTGGAGGGCAAGTGCCAATGCAACTCTATGGAAGGAAGACATGTTGAAACAGAAAATGTCCAAATGTTTCCATTTGTCCAAATTATGTGTCAGTGATTAGATTAATTCATCCTTATTGTGTATGTTTTGACATTTTGTATTTTGTGTGGATTGACATTTGTAATTGACAAAATTAGCTCTAATCTCAGACTAGAAGACTTTTGACACTCACCAGTTATCACGAAAGATTTTTACAGCAGCCCTCCACCACAATGTCAAACTATAGACTATAGAGACTTTGGAATGTTGTGGTGATGTCACAAGAACACAAATTATTGGACATTTTAGAAACCCAAAACATGATTTCTGTCGCTTCTGATCAAAGTATGGCTTTTGTCATTTTGCTTGTGAGCCGAGTTCTCACATCATTTAAAGTTGCTGACATCGCTGTCGTATCCATGAATAAAGGTCAAATCTTCAAAACGATCACATTTATTTGGAAATTAGAACCGCATTTGTCTCGTGTCAAGCCCATGCAGATTACAGATTCCAAAGCTGTTTCACATGAAAGCCTTAATGTAATGAAGACGGCTGCAGTTATCTCTTACAGCTCCAGTGTAATAATAGATGAGACATGTCTAACTATGCGTGTGGAGATAAGACTAGATCAAATAAGCCCAGATTTACTGTACATGAGCTTTGCCTGCAGTTCGCTCAGTGCCTGAAGATGGCACTCGACGCAAAGCAATCCCCCCCCAGTACTCGTGGCTCCGGCTCCAGGAGATGCAGAGATTGCTGTGGGTCTGCGTCAGCTCGAGAGGGGAGAGAGGAGCCCTTGTCCAAAATGATAATGACTCGTGCCTCCTGCTCCTCGTTCTGTGCCACCCTTCACCCACTTCTGCTCTGTTTGGTATAATATAGTACAGAGCAGGGATATCCAGCCTACAGCACGCCACAGACCCCCGAGTCGTTCCAAGAAGGATTCAGAAAGTACGCACAAGCTGAATACTTTCTCTCTGAATTAATTTTTACGATACTCATGCTACAGAATTCAACTGTGTGTTCTAGGTTATCCTACTGTACCCTCTTTTATGAAAGCCAGACCATTGTCAGACCTCTGAATCTAAGGAGGGCGGGGACTGGTTTGTACTGTGATGAGAGACCTCTGGGAACACCATGTGCCACAGTGGGGCGGCTGCGACTGTTAAGTGCCTAACTGTTGTTGCGTACTTAGACAAGACACTTCACCCACATTGCCTGGTATGAGTCTGGTATACGAGTCTGGTATACGAGTCTGGTATACGAGTCTGGTATACGAGTCTGGTATACGAGTCTGGTATACGAGTCTGGTATACGAGTCTGGTATACGAGTCTGGTATACGAGTCTGGTATACGAGTCTGGTATACGAGTCTGGTATACGAGTCTGGTATACGAGTCTGGTGTGTGTCAGTGAATGGTTGATGGTGATCGGAGGGGCCGATGGCATATACTGGTTGCCTTGCTTCTGTCAGTCTGCCCCAGGGCAAAGCGAATAGATAAAGAAATGTGAAGTGTCCAAAAAGCGCTATTTACATTTTGTGACCACAATCTAAAAATATATAACATAATGAAAAATGCATATATTTAAAGGGGCCTTAACCCAAAACTACTTTTTTCAGCTTTCAGCCATGTTTCAGATGCGTGCACTGCCATTGTTCTCCCCTCAGTTCTCTGACTGCTGAAACGTGTGTGTTTTCGAAGGATGCTTTTTAAATACAGGATTTGTTGTTCAGAAATATCACAGTTGGATATTCTACCTTTAGAGTAAAGGGCCAGTGGATACAAGATGTCTGATGAACACCCAGTGACTGCTGCAGAGGCTTGTGGAGCGTGTAACGGTCTTCAGCAGATGGTTCTAATATGAACGTGTCCCCTGTCGCTGTGCAGAAGCTTGTGATGTGTCAAGGTCAGTCTGACAGGTGCACACCCAATGAATGCATGACTTTCTAGAGTTTTGCTTTGCCAGCGCGCTTCAATCATTCATGCGTTCTGTTACTCATAATGCTGCAGAATAGATCAAGTGCTGTAGAATTGACTCTTGAAAGCTCTTATAGGGAGACAGAATCAGGAGCATCTGTCGTCCAGAAGCAGTTTTGACACTTTGGAAATATGAGGTCTGTTGGTATTGTCTTGGCTTAGTTGACCAAAAATGGTCTCTGTTGTTGTCTCTAATTATTACACAGTATTGACTCTAATCAGCAAAACTGTAAGGTGATTATAATCTGCTGGTCTCATGTGTGTGTGTTTGTGTGTGATTGTTTGCTTTTGTGTGTGACTGTGTGCATTTGTTTTTTGTTGTTAGTTTTTTGTGTGTGTGTGTTTAAGTGTTTGTGTTGTGTTTCAGATTTTGATTTTTTATTTATTCCGACATATTTAACATTCATTACATGAAAATAGAAAATGTATACACAAGCTAAAGCTTATTGCACCTGCGTGAACGAGACAGGGCCGCTTATATACCTCAGGGCGACAGGGCAACTGATGTCAGCCATCACTGCAGACTTCAGGTATCACGGCTGTGCCAACGGTGGCGCCAGATTCAAAATTCAAATGTAGTAAATACAGGTCGCCTGCAGATGGCGCCTCACTGACCGTTTTAGGCAGAAAGTTGATCTCTCAACTAATATGCACTAAAGTGACAAAATTATGGCAAGGATATGTAGACAACACTATTGGACACTCATTTATACTGTTTATCAGCAAAAAAAGTGAGTTGTACTTTAATATAATTGAGAAATAAAAAGGGACCCAACACTGACCCCTGTGGGAGGCCGCACGTCAACATCATTAACTGGGAATCAGTACAACTGATGAGGCATGATGAGGTGTTTGTGCTTTTGTTTGTGTTTGCGCGTGTGTGTGTGTGTTGGCATGTGTGTGTGTGTGTGTGTGTGTGTGTTGGCATATGTGTGTGTGTGTGTGTTGGCATGTGTGTGTATGTGTGAGTGTGAGTGTGAGTATGCGTGTGTGTGTTTTGTCTCACTTGCCCTTGACACATGAAGCCGCTCTCTGCAGTGGCTGCTGGAGCTTGTTAGCTGCAGGGAGCTGACCGCAGCCTCGTCCAGCTCTGGTCCACCAGGGTCAATGTGGGACTTCACGGGTCCCACATGTTCACCGGGGTCCCCCAGGGGCCACAGCTGAGCCCCCAATCCCACACACTGCATGTTAGAATTATCTGATCTGATCACCCCAATTTGGTTCAAGTGCCTTAAGTTCCCAGTGTGTCTGCACTGGTTGTGTTCATGTTCTAGAAAAGTATTTCAGTTGGAGGCAAAGTGTCAACTCGAAAGCAATTTTAGAAAATGTTGAAAAAAAATGTCCAAATGTTTCCCCATCATTACATAAAGGGATTAGATTCACAAACTCATATCATATTCTTCTTATGTCTGAAATCCCTTTGATCATGTATATGTATTTTAAAAATACCACCATAGTCAGAAAATGATTAGACACAGTTGATCTTTAATATTCATATGCACTTTTCACGATGAGTGAAATAATACCATTCGTGGTAATGTGATTATTATTTTGAGTGATGGCACGAAACTGAGATACTGCATTAGTATTTGTGGATTTGCACTTGTGATGTTTACCTCTGGTCTGAGCGCGTGGAGAAGGTTTCAATCTCAGCCATGAGCTTCCAGTCTTTTCTCAAGTTGTAAAAACTGGATGCGTCTCGGTGTGTCCTCCCGCAAACGTGTTGATTGTAACTGTAATAGTTTCAATTTAAAATATTTGTTTCTATTCAGACTCGCTCTGGTCTGTTCTGAGTCTGCTGAAGTTCTTTGAAGGTAAAACCACTCGCATCACACTTTATTCACAGCGAGTCACTGGTCACCGAATCGGTGCAAGCTTTGGCGTCCACCAACTGCTGCGTGTGTCATGAAGTTCATGCATCGGCTCCGCTCAGGTTAATGAGTTGATGGATTAAAGATTCAGATTCCGTTTATTTGCCATTTGCAGTAAAAAAAAAACCCATTGGAATACATTAGCAAAAGTCTCCAGTGTGCACAGACAAATACAGACATAAAACAACATTAAAAGTATGGAAATAAAACAAATAAAACAGTAAACAAATGTCACTGTGAAATTGATTGACTAAAACAGTTTCAAAACAAGTGCAAATCATTAAAGTGCTCTGTTCACACTGATAACAGCATGTGGATAAAAACTGTTAGCGTAACGAGATGTCCTGCATCTCAGAGAGCGATATCTTCTGCCAGAGGGAAGAAGCTGGAACATGGCTTTTCCAGGGTGGCCAGAAGAGTCATTAACAATCCTAAGAGCTTTGTTTAAAAGTCTGGATTTATAAAGAACCTCCTAAGCTGACATACCTAAATTCTTTTTGGGTTTCATAAATAAATGTGTTTGTCCAACAGATAATATTTGTGGACAAATCAGACCAACCATGTCTCTATCTTATTGGAAGATAATAAGGTAAAGACAAGATAAAGTACAAATATTTGTATTATAGTATTCTTATTGTGATATCCTTCTCATATTGTGGTTTGACTTTTTGGCCATGTTGCCCAGACCTAAATACAAGTACATATTTATAATGTAAATTATAAAGACATTTACATTATTTATTTGTAATTCCATTATAAATATAAATAATTTCATTTTTGACAGTACAGTGGTTTTTCAGCAGTTTAAACTATAGGCTCGTTGGAGTTTGGAAGTTGTGATGTCACATGCACCGAGCCCATTAGTATGCGATGAAGTGGACATTCCCCAGATGTCTGTTCATCTTGTATTCATGTGGATTAGTCTCCTCTTCAACACCATCAGGAGGAATGAGCTGCTCAACTCTTTGAACTGAAGTAAACATGATTCTGTTCATTAGTCCAGCACTCGAGCAGCCCTTCACTTTTAACAATATTGCAGAGAATACTTTGACCTGGCATTGCTCCGACTTGCTCCTGCATACGTATAGTTCATACTGTGATATGTAATTCCTCGTCTCGGTTCAGATTGACCGATATGGCTTTCCCGTAATAGAATATTTTTAAAGGGAAAGAACCATTCAGACCTCCTGTGGACTCACCACCTGCAGAGGGTCAGTGAGGGGCTGCTATGAGACTTGGGTGGCATCTCTGATTGCCACCCCCCTGACCCAGAAATGGATTAAAGGGGGGTGGCAATCAGAGATGCCACCCAAGTGTCATAGCACCAGCCCCTCACTGACCCTCTGCAGGTGGTGAGTCCACAGGAGGGCGGCTGCTCTCTGAGTGTGAGCATAGCCTTGATCTTTCAGTGGGGGCTTTGGGCAAAGTGGGGTTAAGTGTCTTGCCCAAGGACACAACGACAGCAGTCATCAGTGGGAGTCGGTGGAGAAGGTGCAGAGGTGGGAATTGAACCCACGACCTTCTGGCCTTAAGGCCAATGCTCTACCAACTGAGCTACTGTCGCCCCAAGGGTAGAAAATAGATGGATGGAGAACCATTCAGTAGGGGCTAATGCAAATGCACTAGTTAGCAATTACAACATAAGATTTTTACAGAATGTCTTTATGTATATTGATGGAATGGTTTTATTTTAAAGTGAAGGAGGACATTGTGGATTCACTGATTTGCAGTATTTCACTCATAATTTGCATCTGTGGTTAATTATGAGCATTTATTTGTGCATGTTTTGGGGTATTTGAGCACAGTGTTACTTATATTCAACATGAGTTTGGATTTGAAACTGGCCCAAAAGTAAAGATGGCTGAACTACGGATACAGTTTTTTTTACTGATTATATTTTGTCGTCACTGTTCCGAGAATTATCCTGTAATTGATGTGGTGGTGTTTTTCCTGAAAATATTTGTTTAAAGATGAGGTATAACGTGCCATAGTCGCAGATCGGCCAAATGGGAACTTAAGATCAATGGGCAGTGTATCAATAACAGCCTGATTCTGTTTACTGCTCTATCGCTCGTCCTCTGGAAGGCGAGTGCTTTGGAGTAGGTCCGGGCAAATCAACAAATCAGTCCATTTATGAACCTTTTTCAAAATTGAAGATGAGAAAATGAGAAATTATGAAAATTCGAGCCCAAAGTTTGTGTTTGTTTTTTGCATGTTTTTCTGCCTCTGCTTCATGGGGGTCTGTAGTTTTGCGTAGTCGTGCCGGGAGTGTAAACAACAGGCAGTCTACTGAGAACAGCGGTTTCAGAAGGCACAAGATAGATTATATTTGAGATTTCATGGTCAAAAATGAATTTGAGATCCCGATATTGAGGGTTTTTCATTAAACCGTCATGTGACTTTTCAGAATCTTTGCTGCACTGCCATATCGCCCTATTGTGGACCATGAGTTGAAGCGAAGACAGTTTTCAAGTTGGTCCTTTGCAAAATGTTTTCAAATGGATATTGAACTGCCCTCCAGAATTCCTGGTGTGATAAACTATAGCATCTATCGTCCTGCTCTGAAAAGTAGAGTGAATCCTCGTTGTCTGCCATTCAATCAGGCCATTCCACCCAATCTGTATTTTCTATTTCAGATCTGAGAAGGACACAAAAGCCTTTAAAATTGCTTGCTTTTTAAAGTTTTCCACATAATGAGAGTGGTTTTTGCTCCACCGACTTTGCTGTTTGGTCCACTTTCTATCACTTTTAATGATGTGCAAAGCCGGGACATGTCGAGGCTGGATTCTACATGCAGGGGCACTCAACCACGAATGTGCCTTAGCCCTCGCCTGATCCCAAATGCAGTCCCAAATGAAATGCTTTCTTATCCTTAAGCTCACAATAAGTCCAATTATCTGCCCCGGCATTTTAGAACCACCAAATTTTCAATTGGTGAAATATTGATTGGACAAGGAGCTTTTTACAAACTGCCTAAAATGAATGAAATGATGCTTTATAAAACATGACATTAATAAAATCAGAATACAAACTGGTTTTACCTGCTGCATTTTAACAAAAACAATAGCGATATGTGTCACATTTTCAGTAAGACTACTCCAGTTTGTAAGATGGTTTTGCTTCTTAGATTGGGGATTGACAAACAGTTGACGTTTTCAGATTTCTGAACCTCAAGGATATATTTGATTAAAGGTGATATCAGTCACTTATATTATTTGCATATGTGTATTTGCTCACCTGGCGTTGTGCTATAATGTATTTGAGAACTATGGAATATTTTTAATGAACACTTGACAATGCGGTAGTCACTGGAGTTAGTATTAGCGCCACCAGCTGGACCGAGCGTTGCACTACAGCACAGTTGGTCTGGCACGGTTGAGAAAATGAACCGTTTTCACACCCCCGTGATGACGAGCCGGGCCACTTGGCTTAGTTCATTTGTGAAAACCTATGTGACTGTGCCCTAAGTTCTGACAAAGAAGATGTGGAATTTTGTGACAGCTTTTGTTTGTATATTGAACAAGGGTATACAGGAAAATCGTCTCTAAACCAGGACTAAAAAATCACATTTATTTAACCCTTTTTCAGGGTGAGTTACTTTGATTCTTATTCAGTAGCTGTGTGTATTGATGAACGGCTAGTGCCTTCAGGCTGGTTTTCATCTTTAGTCCCATTGTACATGTTTTTATTGGTAGGAAAAACTTGAGCAACTGGAAGAAGCCAATGTAGACACAAAGAACATGCAAACTCCAGTCAGAAAGGTCCCTTGGTGCCTGGGGGTCACGAGCACTCTCGCTCAACACAGTAACTTAAGTAACTTACATTCACATATAATCTTAATAATCTTTAATCATCCAACATAGGGCTGGGCGGTATAAACGGTATAAGCGGTAGACGGTATAAATTTGGCCCACGGTAGAGATTTTTGTTATACCGGCATATTGCGATAGGTCATTATGTCATTAAATTGCGCAGGCTCTGACGCCAGCAGAGAGCATCAAAACAAACCGGCATTCAGCAGCATTAGCCTAGCACTATTAGCCTAGCAGACACCACTGGAAACAACGAACAACAGCACGGCATTCACACCGTGTTTCTGTCTCTGTATTGTTGTCACAGCGGCCCCAGCAGAGGTAAATACACACACAGTAATCGCAGTTTAAGAGTCTACCTTTTGGCCAATCAGTGTCAAAGGGGCGTAAGCTCGAAGCGCCAGCGTGTGCCGTGTCCGCAGCATCATCACAGCAGAAGTTTGGGAAAGTTAGCGTCAGATTCGGACCTCCGCGGTCAATATCTCACGAAAGCTACTTTGTTAA